CCATTTTCAGAGCTGATAATAATTGTCTAATATATTTTGGTGCCCCTTCATTTGATGAGTATATGTTGATGAGTGTTATATCTTCCTGATGTATTGTCCCCTTGATCATAATGTGGTGTCCATCTATATCTGTTTTTACCTTTTTTAATTTGAAATCTAGTTCATCTGATATAAGTATGGCTGTTTCTGCCTTCTTTTTTGGTTCATTTGCTTGTAGGATTGTTTTCCAACCTTTTACTTTCAGTCTGTGTTTATCTTTTGTGGTTAAATGTGTTTCCTGGAGACAGCAGAAGGTTGGATTTTGTTTTTTAATCCAGCTTGCTACTTTGTGTCTTTTTATTGATGATTTTAATCCATTTACTTTTAGAGTTAATATTGATATGCTGACATCTGTATTTGCTATTTTTTTTGTCTTTTTTGTGATTGTATTGCTTGTTTTATTCTGTTCTTCTTATTCATTACTCTGTTGGTTTTGCCTTTAGACTTGTAGAATTTTTTGGAGTGGGGGTTTAGTTGTAATGAATTTCTGGAGTTTCTGTTTGCTTGTGAAGGTCCATATTTTTTCTTCGTAGAGGAAGGAGAGCTTTTCAAGGTAAAGTATTCTTGGTTGGCATTTGCTGTGTTGAAGTTTGCTGAATATGTTATTCCATTCTCTTCTTGCCCGTAATGTTTCTTCAGAGAAGTCTGAAGTTAACCTTATTGATTTTCCCTTATAAGTTATCTGTTTCTTCCCCCTTGCCAGTTTCATTATTTTTTTCCTTGTCTTGGACTCTTGCAAGCTTTACTATTATGTGTCTTGCTGTAGTTTTCTTTTCATTATGGTAATTGGGTGTTCTTGCTTCTTGTATGTCTATATTCCTCTCCTTTTTCATGCTTGAGAAGTTTTCTTCAATTATCTCCTTGAATAATTTCTCAGTTCTTTTGTCTCTTTCCTCACCTTCTGGAATGCCTATAACTCTTACATTTCCTCTCTCCATGGAGTCTGATAATTGTCTAAGGGTATCCTCATACTTCTTCATTTGCATTTCTCTTTCCTTTTCTCTTTTGGCTCTTTTCATTTCTGTATCTTTGATACTACTGATCCATTCTTCCATTTCATCGATTCTGTTTTCATTGCTTTTCACAGAGTTCTTTATCTCCTCTAGTAACCTTTTAACCTCCTGCGTTTCTTTTCTTTCCTTTCTTAAGTTCTCAATTTCATTCTTCAGTTCAGTGATTATTTGTCTCAAATCAATTTTTCCCTTTTCGTTTTCTTTCTGCTTTTTAATCACCATGACCATTAATTCTATATCTGATAAGTCGAGAAGTTCTTCCATGTCATTGTTGAGCTCTGGTGACTGTATTGCTTTTTGTGGTGTATCCTCCTGCGGGCTTGCTTGGTTATTTATATTTTTTCTTCTCCTTGTTGTTTGCTTTCTTATTAGTTCTATGGGACATTGTGCCACTGGTGTTGGCAGGCATCTCTTTGGAGTGCTCCTTTAGGGGTGCCAGAAACTGTTTACTAGACTGAGACCAGCACTGGTAGGCTAAAACTCCACCAGGGTGTTGATGCTGTGTTGCTGGGCACTGTCCCTTACAGTTCCCTCCCTCTGTATTTATTCAGTTCCAACAGGGAATCAGCTAGTTGGTGATTTTGTTCTGGTCACGAGATGGCGCCAGAGATCCGTACTTGCTGATCCGTGCTTTTTCCCAGTGGTTGTCTGAGAAATGGAGGGCGGGTAGAGGGAAGCACCTCAACACAGGGGCTCTTATTCAAGCTGGGTGCTAAGCCCGCAGCTGTATGGATCCTGCGTCCTGAATTCTGGACTCTAGGTCTCAGTTCCAGGGCTATCAGATCCAAAACGCTGGCTGTCATCCTGTGCAATGCCCACTGCTATGGCACATCCCACACCCTGGATCCTGTACCTGTCTCTCAGTTCCAGAATGGCGTCTTGCTCCACACCTTATTTCCCTTCTTCCCTCCCCCCGTTTGCATGGCCCACCCTCTCTCAGAACCTGAGGGTGTTTTTGGGATCCCTGGTTTCACACTATCCCTGGTGTCCCTCCAGAACTGTTTTATTCCCCGTGGGTCCAGGGAACAATGTGGGGGTGGCGTGGAGCACCTCAACATGGGAGGTTGTGTCTGTCCTGTTCCCCACCATTGTGGGGATCCCACGCCCTGAATCCGTACCCCAGGTCTCAGTTTCGATGCCCTCAGATATAGGATGCAGGCTGCAGCCCCAGTTCAGTGTCCACAGAGATGGCACCTTTTGCACCCCACTCCCATGTCCAGGTGCCTGGCTTCTAATTCCTCAGTGAGGGACATTCACCTCAGTGACAGGTCCTGCAGGTCTCACCTCAAACCTAGGTCGCAGGCTCAGGGATCTGTGCAGCTGCGATCCACGTACGCTTTTTGAGCACACCGTTTTTCTGCACAAGCTTACTGGCTGGCCTTGGGCTATTTGCAGGTCTCTCTGCAGTCCTTGTTTTCCTCTGTTGGCACCCGGAGCCATTCGCTCACCTCCATGGTGATTCCCACACGGTTTTCCACAGTTCCTATTCATGGGGTGTGGTGCCTGCAAAAGTTCCTTTCCACTCACAGTCCTGCTTGATGTGTAGTTTGTTCTCATTGTTGTTTTTTCTTTCTGTTGGTCAGAGTGTACTGGCATTGTGGATGGGGGAAGGTAGAAGGGTTCTGAGCTTTCCTCACTTTTTGGCCTCTTTTATGGCAATTTTCCTCTTCGGGCAGTTTGCCAGAGTCACCAGTTTATCTTCCATGTTCTGGTTTTCTCAGGGACCTGCTGCTTTTCCTCCCTATTAACTTTCTTTTTTTTTAAGATTTTTTTTTTAACAAGTTGTTCTTTTTTTTTTTAAGATTTATTTATTTATTTGTTTGTTTGTTTGTTTGTTTGTTTATACAAGCACTGGGTACAGTCAGAAGCACAGGAGGGTGAAGAATTCACCAGGGCCAGAGCAGGGAACAGAACAGGCAGACAGCAGCAGGAGAGGTCTGCATGCCATGTGGGACCCTCACCGGTGGCTGGGGATTGAACCGGCAGTGCTACAGAAGCTAGAGGCTGCAGGCAGCCTCGCAGCCTAGCGCTCAACCACTACACCACCAGGGAGGCCCAAATTTTTTTTTTTTTTTTTTTAATGGGAGGATTTACTCACAGCGTTTCCCTGCCGCCATGTTGATGCCTCATAAAAATCTAGAATATTTCTATTGCTAAAGGACAAATGAGAACGTGAAGCAAACATCTTTGGATGTGACAGGGAATCCGACTTAATTAAAAGTGTGTGGAATTCATGGGTACTGTTTGTGGTATCTGCTCACAGTGAAAATTAGAAAGCTTGCCTTAGGCTGTAACTTAGGTTTATTTTATCTTTCTTTGTTCTTAGGTGGAAAGCACAATTGCTCTTACAACTGTGATTTGGAAAAGTATTGGATTTGATGTGTCACAGACTTCACTTGCGAAGTAGATTCTAGAAAGTGTGACAGTTAATCTTTGTTGAAACTCAGAACAAACTCAGGCACAAGCATGATGCCTGGTTCAGGGCCAATAGCTTCAACATAGGAAATGCATGCTTCTGAAGAATTGGGACAGCACTGGAAACTGTTTTCTTTTTAGTGATAGAATTACTTTGGACAAAGAACAGAAGAATCAGATATAAAGCTTATCACACTGTCTAGTAGGATGACATTGATCATTGAAGATGCAATAGTAGCAGCTGGCTCTCAAAATCAAATCTGTTGATAAGGATTTTACCCAAGGAAATGTTTTCAGCATCTCTAGATGTGGATATCTAATTCCTAGATTCCCCATAAGTGGTTGAACTATAGTGAAAGATCCCTTCCTAGAAGTAGAAAATTCATGAATAAATCAAAATAATTGGGTTCACTCCTCCAACTCAGGCTGTTCCTGGGCCAATGCCTCTAGTGGACATTGTCCTCATTTTTGTACAATAGACAGTTGCAGTGAGGAGCTCCTGTATACTTGTTGAAAGAAGCAGGTTTTCTATTAACACAGATAGGAATCTTAGAAAGGTAACTATATGCTTCCTAGACTCTACAAAAATTCTATTATGGGACATGTGGCTCAAAGTGTCTAGCTAGCAAAAATGTGGCACAAAAAATTGTTTAAAAATTGAAAACAAGTCTCTTTTCTATAACCTTCTTTACTTTATAAAGTATCATGTAATTTCCTACCTTTTATTATATAAATGTGAGTCCAGGGGTTACCTAGAGCATATCCAATATTGTCACTGAATGGGAGCCATGGGAATTTAAACATAGGTCAGAGTGCTGGAGGAAAAAGAAATTCCTCTTTGGAAGGCCAGTACTATTGAAGTCCCTCTGATTGGTTTGGATGGTTTCACAAAAGGCAAATTGTGAGGGAGGCAATATAGAATCCTACCAATTGAGCTCACAGGCTTTTTGGTATTTTAAAGAAAGGGCTGATTCAGGTTCAGTGTATGTTCAAAACTAGAAAATTTCCTTACCCATTTTCTCTAGAAGGACAGGTATTTTTCTGGGAACAATATCTTAACAGACATGAAATCTAAAGAACAAAGTTATGCAGGGATTTGAGTAAGCAAGGATCTCATAGCAAAGTCATAGTAGGCAAGATCCTCATTTGACTGGGGAACAATGCATCACCTTTGGACAGGAATCCCATTCCTGATAGCTTGTCAGATTCTTCCTGCTTCATATAGCTCCTTCTGGGTTTTAAACAGTAGAAGGAGATGCATTTATTCAGAAAGAGAACATATTGGAATCTTTATTATCTTTTCCCTTTAAGCAATTATGTTTACAAAAAAGATATGTGAATATATTTCTATTGTAACCTGAGGAAGTTGGGGTAAATGGATTATGAGCTACACCTGTAACATTCCTGGCATTCCATCACAGTATTTACGTAGACTCAATCACCTCTGTCCAGCATCTACCCCAACACTATAGATTAATGACTAGACCAAAACATTATACAAATTATCTGTGAGCTTTCATTCCAGAGACTCACCTGTGACCAACACTTCAACGTTTGCCCCATTGTAGTATGTGGAGCTTTCAAAGATGCACCTATACTCGCCATCATCCAAAGGGTAGATGGAACGGATCCTTAAGGTCACCTGCCCTTTGGTGATATTCTCAGTCAGAAGCTGTGTCCTTCCTTGGTACTCAGACATCTGATGTTCCATATGATCCTGGGAAGCACCATAACGATGCACTAGACCTGAAGGATGGGTTCGGTACCATTTCACCTCCATGTTCTGAGCATCCATGATTGGGTTAAGATGGCAGGACAACAAAGCCTCTTCCCCAACTAAGGCAATCACTGGTTCTGTTGGTGCTCTCACATGGAATTGCCCTGGAAGTAATTAAGAAGAGAATGGAATCATCACTGAGATTATTGAAGACACGGTTGTGACCCTCTGAGAGAGAAAATAGACCAGTTCAACTAGCAAAATCATCTATGTTCAATGAGTGAAAGGCCTTAAATAAGGATCTCCAAAAACACTGCTAATATGAGGTCATGAGATCAATGGGCAACAGTAATATGATCTTCATCATAATTTGTGTTTTGTCATTTGGCCAGGATTGGACTTTAAATTTATATAAATCACTTATTGAAGTCTTTGTAAACTCCATGTGTTATTGAATATTATTTGCATTTTTCAGTGAGGAAATTCAGTCAGTGAACAATTAATAATTAATTCAGTAATTAATGAATTGAGTCAGGGTTAATGATTTACCCCTTATTGTATACCCTAAGTACAAATTGAAAATTCTAATATTAACAACCAAATGTTTCCTTGCTTTAAGCCATGTGTTACCAAATATAGTATAACCTATAAAGAAATATAATGTGAAACCAAAAAATGATATCTTTGCATTATGAAAAAAATAGAACACCATTCACACTCACATCAAAAAGAGTCAAATACGTAGAAATTAATCTAATTAAAGAAATGAAGGACTTATACAATGACAACTACAAAACATTATTAACATCATAATAATAAAACATAAGAAGATGGAAAGACATTATATGGTCATGGATGGTAAAAATCAGTATAATCAAAATGACTCTTCTACCAAAAGTAATATATAAATAAAGGCTATTTTCATCAAAATGGCACCAATATTCTTCAAATAAATTGAAATAAACATATTGAAATTTATATCAAAACATAAAAGACCTCAAATAGCAAAACAATCCTGAAATAAAAAAGAAACGAAGGCATCATTTTACCTGACTTTGAACTATACTATAAAGCAAGAGTACTAAGAACGATATGGTATTTGGCATAAAAATAGATACATGGATGCATGGATCAATGGGATAGAATTCAAAGCCCAGTAATAAAACCACGTTCCCATAAATACTTAATTTATGATAAAAGAGCCATCACCATACAATGGGAAAAGGAGAGCAACTAGTAAATGGCACTTGGAAAACTGGAAGGCAATATTTAAAAGAATGAAGCTGACTCACTCTTTACACCATGAACAAAAGTATAATATGGATTAAATATTTAGATAATATCTGCAATAACAAAATGTACAGAAGACTTCTTTGGTAATATATTCCATAACATCAATGATAAAGATGTTTTTGCACTTCATCTTAGCCAAAAGGCCAAGAAGTGATGATAAAAATATTTTCGAGAGCTGATATTACAATATGGCAATAGCAATATCAACAAAAATAAACTGGGATTACCTCATATTAAGAGACTTTTATACAACAAAATAAAATGTAAGTAGATTAAAAAGATTTCTTACTGAAAGGGAGAAAATATTTACATATTACATAAGTGACAGAGGGTTATACACAAGATATATTTTAAAACATATACACCAACAGAAAAATAAAAACTTAATAAGTAGGCAACATATATTAACAGACAATTCACCAAAGAGGATATACAATAAGAAGGACAATAGATAGAAAAATGTTCATTGCTTTTAATAAGAGAAACACAGGTAAAAACCACAATGAGATATCTCAAACTAATGAAAATGGAACATTTCAAAAGGGCTTCAACAACAAGCACCTGGAATAGATTCAGAGAAAGAGGAACCCTATCACACTGTGGGGATGTAAACTAGTGTAGCCATTGTGGGCGGCAACCTACATTCATATAATGGAAAGACCACATGATCTAGCAATCCTACTCTTTCACATCTATAGAAAGAACTTGAAACCAACTAGAAAAAATATGTTCTCTACAATGTTTATTGCTGCACTATTTGCAATAACTAGAACGAGAAACCTAAGTGCCTATCAATAGAAGATTGAATCAAGAAGTAGATTTCCACACAAGAAATGAGGTTTCTAAGGTTAGGAGGGAATGGGTTAGTGAGAAAAGTTTAAGAATATATAAAGGATGGTGGTGGGGAACAAAAATAGCTTTTTCATTTACTAAAAATGGAGTGAAACAGAAAGAACTATCATTGGGAGAAAACTGTGACAGATGCAAGTAGAAGGGACATCTCTGCCTCCAGCATTCATGTAAAAGCTCACCTTCAACGCACAGTCCCATGAGCTGAGCAGGTTGATGTTCTCATGACCTTTGGTGGAAGATTTAGAACTCTCTAATTAAGAATCTGACAGCTAACTACCCTGACATTCTACTCCTCTTGCTTATAATCTCTTCCTCACACTAGGCAAACTAGAGGCTGGTAGAGCTAGAAAGCTATCCAGAGGACAAAAGGTGCTAGAACACACTTCTCCCTTTAATGAACTGCTCATTATTTACCATTTAAGAATCTGATAGGCATAGATATGTTCTTTGCTATTAGGCCAATGATAAAAAATGGTAAGTCAATGATAATGGGCTTGTCTTAAAAAGTCATATAAAATAGAAGCTAATGACTTTAATCAAGCTAAGTATAAAGATGTCTAAATAGTTTAAAACAATAAGAATATGTAACTATAGATATCAAAAGAAATATTCACTCTGAAATCAAGGTCAGTTTGCCTTCACATTCTTAAACTACAAGCTGTCATGATACAATTTATCTAACTTCCCTTTCGAGGCTTATTTTTCATAGATGCAGCAAAGCTAAACCTCAAGTTAAATACAGATGGGTGACACCCTATCCTTATATGACCTGAACAGAAAATCAGCCCCATTAGAACCCCAAGCACTGTAAGGAGAATTCATGGTCAATTTATAAGCAAAGGGTGTAACAATAAGGAAAATTCAGTGACAGGATTAAAGATCTCCATTTATAGACTGAATTTGGTCTAATTATAATTTGCCACTCTATGTACTTCCTTGTTCCTAACACCGATAATAATCCTGAAATAGTCCCTGTTCACTTCAGGCAAGGGAGGTAGATTTTAGGATTTCCTCCTGCCTCCTTGTCAGGTGACCTCAAAATAAACGTTTTTCATTTCTCAAGGCCAGTACCATAGTATTCACTTTATGAAGGTTGGCGGTGAACTCTGCTAAGCTGGAGGTAAAATTACTGTGCATATTTTTTTGCATTTCTGTGTTTTATTTAGCACAAATATAAAGTGCACGTAGGTTGTTTTCTTATTTTCTTAACTGTGTAACCTGACCTTTCTCCAAGGTCAGGCTTTAATGTTATCTGCCCCCCCCCTTTTTTTTTAATTGCACCATGAAACCTCTTATTGCACCATAAACTTCTTATTGACTTTAATTCTTTGTTTATACATAAGTGCTGTAATAAAATATGTGTACACTACTTGGGCTCACTGCTCACACCCAATTTGAGAAAGTGATGGGAATGAGCCTTCAGTTTCTCTTCTGTGAAGAAAACCAAGAAGCCATGAGAAGTCATGTGGGGTGTGGGTGATGCTGCTGTGTGAATAGAGCTGCTGAGTTGAAAAAAAAAATCTATATACAGATAGATATTGCTTAAAGTGACTTTATACAACCTAATATAGGAGTTTTACATTCTAAAGTGGTTTAAAAAATGGTATTTCCTCATCAGTTACTGCAATAAAAAACTCCATCTGCTTCCCTTAAAGTAGTTTATTATAAGATCTTAATATAAGGCAATGAATGAAGTTATATTAATCCCTTTATTTTTTCTACCCAATGTACTAATGACACACAACCAAAATAATTATTAATATATTGTCATCTTTTCTGTCATTAAGATAATACTAATTGAAATCAATTTCATAGCAGGCTAATATATTTTTAGTATTGCATTAGAAAAATAATCAGAAGGCATAATACCTAGTGTTAAGTTAGGCAAATACAAACACAGTTACTTATTACCACCAGTTAAATCAAGATATTTTGTGTACTGAAAGGTGCAGAGGTGTGTGTACTAAATTCTTAAGCACTAAACCTCTTATTACAAAAAATAAACCCATATTCACAGAGTACATTTCAAAATTATTAATTAAAACCTAAGTAGTTCACTGTTTATACAATAAGAATATATAGTTAAATAAACATTTTCCTCAACTAAACAAATTGTCATATCCCTGTACGTGCCCAAACAGGCTAGGGCTCTGCCTTATTATTTTCTAATGTGTTGCTTCTCCCTCCTTCCCACCAGGCCAGGCTTTTAAATATACTAGGAAAAAATTTCTATAATAACCAACTATATCATTACTATTCTACAACCCTAGGTTTAATCTTTATGACAGGCTTGATTTATCTTTTACAAGATTTCTGTGGTATATATACCAAATATACATGCATGTGTACTCTGGCCCCTTTTTCTGTCACAGAGCTTATAAAAATTTTGGAGTTTCCTAGGTGATAGGAATGTCTTTTATTATTCATAAGGAGCTTTCAGACATCTGAGTTTATGCATTTGTGTTGATTCGAGAGGCGGGGAGCCTAGAATAGTTTGGCTGGGTCCTGATCTCCAGAGGAACCAACATTTTATTAAATTATTTTTCTCTAATTTAAAACCTGTAGGGAAAGTTGGGAGGATGGAGATTTTCAATCACCAGAGGCCAATGACTTAATCTAACATGTATCATGTGTATGTACTGAAATAGAAACTTCCATTTAAAAGCCTGAAACATTTTACTAAACTGATTGATTACTTTAATTCTGTGGAGCTTTTGGGGTTCTCTATGTATATTATCATATCATCTGCAAATAGTGATAGTTTAACTTCTTCCTTCCCTAGTTGGATTCCTTGTATGTCTTTCTCTTGTCTTATTGCTCTGGCTAGGACTTCCAGTATTATATTGAAAAGCAGTGGTGAGATTAGACATCCTTGTCTTGTTCCAGATCTTAATGGAAATGCTTTCAGCTTTTCACCATTGAGAATGATATTG